AGAGAGTTGAGAGAAAAAGGCATTTTAGCTCAGAAAATTCCCCTCGACTTCCCAATACATTCTATTCAACCAGGACAATATGTGTTGATAAAATGCTGGAAAGGGGAAAGTCTAGAACCTCGGTGGGAAGGACCATTTCTTGTTCTTTAACCACAGAAACCGCAGTTTGAACAGCAGAAAAAGGCTGGACTCATGATTCATGGGTAAAAGGACCTATACCAAATAAAAACTGGAAAATTATTTTGACACCAGGAGACCTAAAAGGAAAATTGAAAAAGAGTTAAAACAAATGGAATCATTTTACAAAGTCTGAAAAGAAAACAGCCTAAAATGAACTTGTAACTGATCAACACATGGCTGAGGAGAGTGCTGGGTGCCCACAGGCCAAAGGTCACATGAAAAATCGTTTTTGACTCTGGATTTCACGTAATCCTGCAATACGCTCAGTGTGCCATCCACATGTAGAAAGAATAACACCACCCCAGGATATCCAAGATACCCTTAGTGCAGAAAGATCAGAAACTGTCATCCCACAGAAAGTGGTTTCTTTATTTCAACAGGGTTGTAGCAAACAGGGTCATTTGTGTGCCCCTTCCTGTATAGCAAAACGTGAGCGGTGTGAAGCGATAAGAATTAAAAGGATAAGACAACGACATCGGTATAGGACAGCTGGACCCTGGGACCAAGGAGATGGAGCTTTTGTAATCAATTGTATACAATGTTTTAGCAGGGTGGAGAGGGACTTCAGACTGGGCAATTGGGCTTCAGCACAAGTTAGCATTAACACTCACCTGCAGCAATTTAGAATAGAAGATCAAGCACAAAGAGCATTTGTTTATTTAGCTTACTGCTCAGAATGAATGGTGGCTTTAAGGACACTGCAAGAGCAACAGAGAGTAATACAAGTGTGATGTGGATACAATAAGATTTCTCCTGATAATTAATCAGTAAAGAGTTTGTGCTTTATGATTGCAACTAACTTTAATCCATTAGAGAAAACAGGCATTCTGGATTGGCTGCTGACAGGAACTCCATTAAATCCGGACGCAGAACAACGCAGGTGGGAAAGAATCCGACGCTTTTTGGATCTGTGGGAACAACCGAGACGGATTGAAAATATTTTAACACTCCCTCAGAGAATAACATTAATAGATTTTGTCAGTGAATTACAACTCCATAGGAAGAAACTAGTAACATCTATTACCAAAAAGGTACAAGAACAAATAACACTATGGAGTTGTACTAAGCACGGTTTAGAGTGTCGCCCATGGATTCATGTTGTTTGTAATAATTGCCTTGATTCATGGTGGAGAGCAACCAGAGTAAATGAAAGAGAAAGACAATTGATATGCTCAGCTTGTTTACATCGTGTGCTTCATCAGTTAACTTTGGGAAAGTGTTTTAGTGATTTTTTAGGAATATCTTTGAGACACAAGGATGGATCTCTGGATGCAGCTGTTTGATTAATAGAGAATTTGGACCAAAGAATCCTTGCTGTATTAGCTTTTGAATGGGTAAAAGAGAGAACAATTCATAATATAATAATCCAGAGCATTATAATTACCAGCTGCTGTGGAGAAGAGATTTGTGTACCGTGCCACAGACACATTTCTGATAAAAACTGGCATCGTGAGTGTGCCTGTTGGTGGTGATGAA